GTCAGAAAATGTTGCATAACTAAAGTGAGCAAGAGGGAGTTACTTATTTTTGTTACTCAGCTATTTGAATCATTAGAAAAATATAAAAACTTCATCTGTGCTATGTGATAATAAATATACAGGCATATCAGGTGTATTCTAGGGGCAAGATATGGAATCGACACAGTAGCAAAGAGCTCACTGAGTTGCCACAGTAAGCTAGCTAGGGTTGCCATATTTCAAGAAGTGAAAATCTGTTGACCTTTACTTAGGAGAAAATCCCGGATGAAACGCCACTTTTCGGAAATTCCCCCAGATGTCACTTCCGCCATTGAAATCCCACTAATGTCTGGGGAAATCCGAACATATGACAACACTAAGCTAGCCATAAAAATGCCAGTGCATGTGAACTAAATGTGGGGAGGAGTGACTGCACACAAAGGTTTTTCCATCTGACATTCAGTAAAAAGATTGCAACAGTAAAAATATGACAAACTACTACAAGGATGGCATAAGCAACAAACAGTTGTATAGCTGTAAAAATTAGACCAATAAATATTTTTTTACTCATAATATCTGGCAGACATTCCTTATATTCAGTTTTAGTGTAAGAACTGACACATTTGTTTCATAGGTAATATTTTCAGCCAATGAGCTAACTGATGTTGGTACTTAACACACATCAAGCAAAAGAAAAAAGATTTGAAAACTGGGGAGACTGTTTTGCTTTCAGTATATATGTGCTCTTTAAGTGGATTGCGCTCACTTGCATTCAAGGGGAAAAAGACGCTCAAATAAGGCAAGATGCTAGCTGTCTTCAGTTTCTTTTTTCCCCATAAAAAACCCCCACAGTTTTGTGGAGTTCCTATGGGCAGATGTGTACTCATTAAAGGACAGATTGCTTGCTTTTCATGCTAAGCATTTCTAGTCAAGAAAAGGGTAAAATTACATTTCCCCACAATATTGTCTTTCAGGACAATTTGACACAACAAGAGACTGTTGCCTAGCTACAGTCAGGAAGTGCAGAGAGCTGCCATGGCCAGAAATGGGAACTGTCAGATTTTTGTGCTGATGTCACAAATGAAGAGCAGGTTGATGGGTAAGGTGTGATGTGTATTTAGGCTTCAAGGCAGCTCAATCCATCCAGCAAACCTACTGCGTTCCCCTGACTTGGAAAAAAATACGAAGGCTTGGACTATGCTTGCCTACGTGGAAGATGTACATTCTGGTTTCTGGCTCTAGCTTATTAGCATTCAGCTGCCTAAGGTCTAAACCAGGCAATATGGCAAGGTTCCATGATCAAATCTACTATTCCTTCTAGCAGCTTCACTCCTATAGCACCAATTTGTCAGCATATGCTCACACATTTCCACGGTCTCGTCTAGTTTTGTCCTAAGGTCTATGACTGGCAGGAAGGACTGAGGCTATCTGATGCATCACTGAATTTTTGTAGCACCTATCAGCAAGCTTTGGAGCTACTACAACCTACCGTAACTGACTTAGGAAACAGAAACAACTAGGAAATGGTTATCTGTGGATAACAATTTTGAAATTCTTTTCTTCTGAAACATTTAGAATTCCAATTTTTAAAAACTTTTTTTATTTGCCAAGTACTTAAGGCTGGGTGTTTGGTTTTGTTTTTTGTTTTTGTTAAATAAGAGTCTGTTAAACAGGCGACATCATTTATGCATATGTTACATCAGAAATGTTTTAAGCTACATATTATTATATCAGAGTGGATCTTAGCTGGCTCTAGAAAAGGTGAAAACATATTTCAAACTTCTAACATGAAGAAAGTAAGTGTCTATCTATAAATAAGTAACATAGCAAGGGCTTTAAATTACAAGAGCTTTACAGTGGCATTACTACAGGCTCATATATCTTCTTGTGTAGAAATGCCGATATACATTCAGGCAGCTGGTGTAGCATTCGGAATGAGGGCTCCAGTTCAAGTCTCAGGTCAATTATAAACTCACTGGCCTTAGACAAACTATCTCTCAGCCTCATGCTGCATTACCCTAGTATGAAGATGATATTGCTCAATAATATGGGTCTTAAGTAATGTCCTTTTAAAAATGATTTCATGATGGAACAGATATGGAATCCTTACACTGTTTTAGCTTGTTCTCTTTCAGATAATGCAACACCTCAAACATGCATAAACTTAGACAGAACAGTCCTCTGAGGACACGTTAAGTATCTTGCTTAATATCTGGATTAAGGAGCTGAATATGAATCAGGACCCAAGAATATATGCTAAAGGTCACATGAACCTTTCAGGCAGATATTCTGTAGAACATGTCATTTCTTTCCTTTCCATGTTAGCCTTTGAAACAGAACTATTAAGCCACTCTTTGGTTTTCAGGGGAAGACATGGATAAGAACATTTTTTATCACGGTACTGTATTTCTTTAAGCCATGTTCCAGTTTCATGACACAAATCTTTGATTCACTCCTGCTGGTTACAGAGCCTCCTGCCATGTCACTGGGATCGGTTTGTGGGCCAGTGAAGAAATGGTTATATTTTGTATCTATTGCAGCATCACTTTTGCAGGGATTGTTGAGCGGTGCCTTAATATGTTTATTTCTGTAAATCCTCATGCCTTCTGCAAATCACAAAACCCAGAGCATTGTAATGTTGTGGAAGCTGTGACATAGGGTTCAATAATGTCCACTTGCTTGTGCAACAAAAATCAACTGGTACAACAGGAATTTTGGGTTGTCTTCTCCCTGCACCCCCCATCCATCTGTTTAAAATGATGTAGAAAACATTATTCCTCTGCAAACTCACTCAATTCCCATGTTACCTGGCTGGTAGAAACCCGGGGAAAGTTCTCTGGCAACTGCTCTGGCGATGTCACACTCCTGACGAGCAGATTGGCTGGCTTGATCTGCAGCATCAGCTTTAGCCCTTGCGTGCGCAGTTCTGTAGAAGGCATTAAAAATGTGTATGAGCACAGCTGTCCTTTGTATCAATACAAGTAATTCATATAAATATGAAAAAAGCCCATCTAGTCCAGCATCATTCTCCCAGGGGGCAGCCACATGCCCCTGGGAAGCGCAAAAGCAAAGCAACGTGTGATTCCTGGCAACTGGTATTCAGAAGTCTATTGCTGCCAGCAGTGGAAATAAGCCATAGTCATTGTGGCTAGTAGTCACTGATAGCTACCATATAAAATTCAACACACCAATTTTACAGGCAATATGCAATATGTTAGAGGACATTCGGCACAGAAACATGTGTGTATACCTTTAAGAAGTTTCTGGGATTAATTGGCTGCAGGTGACCGTTGCTATAAAGGAAAAAGCTGAGTTTTGTTGCCTGCCTGCAGGAATAACACCCACCAGAGTTTGTGTTTATTTGCTTAGTAATAAAGTCTTCGTTTTAATTTGGGTTTTTACATCTATGTCTCCTGGAGTCACTCTGTCCTCTGCCACCGGCTGGAAATCCCCCACCAACAGGTTATGGGCCCAGTCCCCAGTCCCTGAGTGGGCAGAGACAGAGCGTGAAAAGAACCCAGAGACTGGAAGCAACTCAGTGTTTCTCAAGCAGCTGGCTGTGTGAAGGCATCGGCAGGGAGTGTCTGTTTGGGACCAGGAGCCGAACTTTTTTTCAAGCCACGTGTGAGTAAGAACTGAGTGGAAAGCTGTAAGCTGGGTGGCGCCATGGCTGGACTTGGAGCTGGAGCTCAAGGGGGAGCTTCCTATTTTCCAGTAGAGAAACTGGGAGAGTCCAATTATATGTCATGGAGTTTACAGATGCAGGCGTTTTTAAAGAAAGAACAATGTTGGACTGTTATTGTTAACCCTCCTGTAAAAGAGGAGGATGAAGAAGTAGATGAAGCAGACCAAAGGCTGGAGGACAAAGCCTATGCCAATTTAATTTTGAGTTTAGAGAAGTCTCAGTTCTCATGTGCGAGACCTTGAAACAGCAAGTGAGATTTGGCAAGCACTGAGAGCAATACATATTAGAGACACTGCTGGCAGCAAAATTACTCTAATGAGAGCTCTGTACCGAGCCAGACTAAGTGAGGGTGAATGTGTTTCAACACACCTTCAAAGAATGCGTGATTTATTTTCACAGTTAAATGAACTTGGGGAACATTTTTCTGAACAGAGAAAAGTTTATATTGTGCTGTCTTCACTTCCTGAGTCATGGGACAATTTAGTGATGACTCTGGAAGCAATCCCAGAAAGCCAATTAACAATGCATTTCTTAACTGGGCGTTTGCTTGATGAGGAGGAAAGACGCCATGAGAGGAAGGCCACAACCCCTCACTGTAACTCCAGAAATGGGAGGCAGTCCAGTAAAAGATATGCAACTGATGAGGAGCGGCATCCTAAAGAGGTTGTAGACCACAGAGAGGAAGCAGCATTCACAGTTAGAAGATGCTATCGTTGTGGGTCAACCAAGCATTTAGTACGACAGTGCACTGTGTCTGTGGGAGAAAATACAAGACAAGGGCGGCCTGCGTTTGCTGGGAAGCGAGGAGACAGGAAGAGTCGAATCCAGTATGTTTCTGCAGCAGTTCGAGGCACCAGTCACGACGTTGGACAAGACTGGATTTTGACTCAGCAGCGACAAACATTTTTGTCAAGTCTGCACAAACCCTTGTAGAAAAGCAGCCTTGTAAATCTGTAAATGTAGTACTAGCTGATGGAACAGTGCATGAGTCAGCTGGAAAGGGTAGTGTGAATATCAACTGTTTAAGTACCAAGTTTACCAATGTTTTATGTGTACCAAGTTTAGAAAATAATTTGCTTTCAGTTACAAGTCTTGTTAAGCAGGGATTTAAAGTAACCTTTTCTGGTTCAGGCTGTAGAATAGAGAAAGCTGGAAAAGTGGTTACAGCGTCGCTACAAAATGGTTTGTTTGTTTTGAAAGACCAGCTAGTAAGTGAGTCTGGGGCATGTGTTAAAGCCTGTAATAGAGCCTTGCATGATGAGTGCCAGCATCTGTGGCATCGTCGTTTGGGGCATGCCAATTTCCGCAGTATTGCAAAAATGCCAGAATTAAGCAAGGGAATTAAAATGAAAAAATGTTCAGTTTTTCTAGACTGCAATACCTGCAAGGAGTCTAAAAGTAAGCGAGGGTCTTATCCTGAAAGTACTAGAATTAGCAAGAGGCCATTTGCTTTAGTACATTCAGACCTTTGTGGGCCATTTGCAGAGTCTGAAGGAGGAGCAAAGTTTTTTTTGGTTCTTGTGGATGATTATAGCCGGTATACTTGGGTATATTTGTTAAAACACAAAAGTGAAACTGGTCAACTGATTAAGAATTGGGTCAACTATATAGAAAGGCAGTTTCCTTACAAAGTTACCCAGTTGCAAAGTGACCGTGGAGGCGAGTTTATGTCTGAAGCCCTCCAAGTTTGGTTGAAAAAGCGTGGTATTAGTCACCGTAAATCGTGTCCTTTTTCGCCTGAAGAAAATTCAGTTGCAGAACGCAAGATAAGATCTTTACAAACAATGCTAGATTCAATGCTATGTGATTCTGGCCTATCCAGGAAGTATTGGGGAGAAGGAATTCTGTGTGCTAACTACATACAGAACAGATTGTTTCATTCTACCATAAACAACACCCCTCATTTTTTGCTTTATGGAAAAAAACCCTTTTTGGACCATGTTAAAACTTTTGGTTGCTGGGCTTGGGTTCACATCCCAAAAGGACAGAGAAGGAAAGGAGAGCCCAAGGCAAAGAAACTTAGGTTTGTTGGCTATCAAACTTGGTCAAAGGGGTATCGTTTTGCACTAGGGCGTGGCAGAGTTGTAATATCAAGACATGCAGAGTTTTGTGAGCAAGATGGTTGGGTTCGTTTACATGGAAATTCAGAAGTTGTGTTATCTTCTGATGATACAGATAAATTTGTGAAATCTGAGGAAGAAAAGCCACAAATTAAAGAAAGTTCTGAAAGTGACAGTGATGAGGATTCAGGGGATGAGGATCCCAGTACACAATCTCCTAAAGCTGAACCAATTTCTCCTGAGCAGGATAAATCAGAAGGGGAAGATAGTTCAGAGGGGGAGAGTGTTCAAGTTAGAAGGTCACAAAGAAGCAATAAGGGGGTACCTCCAGAAAGGTTTACTATACAAGAAGTTAAAACTGGTGATGTGAAAAAGGAACCTCGTGATTATGAGGAAGTTTTAAAGTTACCACACCAGGAAATAGTAAGGTGGAAAAATGCAATGAAAGCAGAAATGAAATCTTTAGCAGAACACAATGTCTTTACCATTGAGCCATTGCCTGAAGGAAAAAAGGCAGTGGGCTGTAGATGGGTGTATAAAATAAAACATTTGGCAGATGGTGATGTTAAGTACAAAGCCAGACTGGTAGCACGAGGCTTTACTCAAAGAAAAGGTGAAAGCTTTGATGAAACCTTTTCTCCTACTGCAAGGAGTGAAAGTGTACGCTTATTGCTAGCTCTTGCAGCACAACGTGGGTTTAAGGTAAACCATTTTGATATTGAAACAGCTTATCTTAACGCAAATCTGCAAGAAGAAATTTTTATGAATCAAGCGCCAGGTTTTGAGGCAGGAGAACAGAATTCTGTATATAGGCTGAACAAAGCAATTTATGGGCTCAAACAGTCAGCTAGAAATTGGAACGAGTGTCTTGATAATGCTTTAAAAAATCTTGGTTTTAAAAGAAGCTTAGCTGATAACTGCTTGTACACTAAAGGAAAGGGTGATAAACAAGAATTGTGTTTGTGTTATGTTGATGATTTGCTTTACTCTACAAAAAGTGACAAGCAAGTGGAAAAATTTGCAGAACAACTAAGAAAGGTATTTAAAGTAAGAGATTTGGGTCCAGTAAAAAATTATCTCGGTTTAGAAATTCAAAGAACAAACGATGGAAGTTTTTTGTTGAGTCAAAAAGACAAAATAATGGAGTTACTTGAAAGAAACAATATGCAAAACTGCAAGGGAGTAAAAACCCCAATGGAAATAGGTTTTTTCAAAAATGAAGGAGAATGCACAGAACCTGTAAATCCTGAAATGTACCATTCAATAATTGGAAGTTTATTATACATTTCATTGTGGAGCAGACCAGATTTGAGTTATGCAGTTGGAATACTAAGCAGACTAGTAAGCTGTCCTACAGAAAATGCCTGGAAAGGTTTAAAACGCATTTTCCGGTATCTAAAGCAAACACTTGATTATTGTTTAAGATTACCATCTTCAGGTTCCACCAAATTGCAGTGTTACGTTGACAGCGATTGGGCCAACCTGCCTGATAAAAAATCAATTTCTGGAATGGTATTTCAATTTGGAGATTCTTTAATAGGTTGGAAATCCAAAAAACAAAGTATAGTGGCCACATCATCAACTGAGGCCGAATACTGTGCATTGTCGGAATTATGTAATGAAGTAAAATTTTATGTTCAGATCCTCAAGGATATAAACGTACAGTGTAATTATCCTATTCAAGTTATGGAAGATAATCAAGCCGTAATAACCTTGTCTGGATCTGACCTGTTTAGAAACAAATCAAAGCATTTAGAAATTAAATATCAAAATGTAGCTGAAAATGTAAAACAGAACCAGATAATGCTGAAGTATTGTGAAAGTACACAAAATGTGGCGGATGTATTTACAAAAGCGTTAACTTTTGAAAAACATGCACGACTGGTAGCAAAGTTGGGAGTTGCTGTGTGTGATATGTAAATATGTTCTGTTCTGTTTAAAATACTATTGTTTCTGTTTGAATGAGAGGGGGTGTTAGAGGACATTCGGCACAGAAACATGTGTGTATACCTTTAAGAAGTTTCTGGGATTAATTGGCTGCAGGTGACCGTTGCTATAAAGGAAAAAGCTGAGTTTTGTTGCCTGCCTGCAGGAATAACACCCACCAGAGTTTGTGTTTATTTGCTTAGTAATAAAGTCTTCGTTTTAGTTTGGGTTTTTACACCTATGTCTCCTGGAGTC